TATATATTATGTATATGGGTGATGGTGTTGACTTGGTTAGGACTGACTTGGATTTGATTACCTTTGTATCATTGTCATTTAGTGCTGGTTATCACGTAGTTTCTTAGATAGAGATAAAAGTTTTTCACCAAACAAATGAATCTCTGTTTGTATGCAATGTGAATGCCGGACCATGACATCTGCAATGACTAGAAATACTCACTTGTCTTATTCAAGCAGGTTGCTGCCGTTTCCAATTTGTTGAACCTCGCAGTCATCATAAATGCAAGCTGTTGTTGCACCTTGTAGAAAGGGTGACCCAGTAAGTTCTCCTAGCTCAGGGGAGAGCAAATCATGGGTTGCATACTGTCCTGGAGCACTCCAGAGTTTGCATTCTTCACATCCTTGAGTCAGTAGAAAAATAGGTTGACCTAAATGGTGTTATCCCCATTGGATTTATGGATTTAATATAGGGAAGTTTCAAGCAGCAATTTCTTTTCATCCTTTATTCAACATCACTTGCTAAGCAGGAATCCTCCTTCACATCCAGACAGTAGAACCATACAGTAAAGTGGGGTGGAATTGGCAGGATTTTGCCTTAGTTCAAATTTCATCTTAGTAAATAGTATAATCAAACTATCTTCAATATAGTTGTAGTCTTACCAGCTCTGTTGTCTATAATATGGAATTAATAATATTGGCCAATATTATTAGCCAATAATATTGGCTAACTTTGCAGGATTGAATTCAACAGGTAAGTTTAATAGGATGTGTTTTGAACTTATAAACTCCCATATGTTGCCTCAATTGGGAGGCAAGGGAGGGGGAAATGATGAAACAGGCATTGTGATATCGCAGTATAAACTCTTCTCCTAAATAATACAGAAAAACAGAATTTGAGGTCTTCTAGTTCAACCCCATGCTAAGGCAGGAAAACTATACAATTTCAGACAAATTGTTGTCCAATTTCTTGTTAAAAACTTCGTGTTGGAGCATTTACAACTTCTGAAGGCAAGTTGTTCCATTGATTAATTGTTCTAGCTATCAGGAAATTTCTCTTTAGTTCTAGGTTGCTTCTCTTCTTGATTTGTTTACATTCATTGGTTCTTGTCCTGTTCTCATGTGCTTTGGAGAATAGCTTGACTCTCTCTTCTTTGTGGCAACCCCTGAGATATTGGAACACTGCTATCATGTCACCCTTTTCCTTCTTTTCATTAGACTAGATAGTCCCAATTCCAGCAACCGTTCTTTATATGTTTTAGCTTCCAGTCCCCTAATCATCTTTGTTGCTCTTCTGTGTACTATTTCCAGAGTCTCAACATCTTTTTTATAATATGGTGACCAAAACTGGATATGGGGTCTATGACAATTCACCACAGCCAGGTCACTGTGGGACAACNAAAAAAATATCATTGTCAATTTTAATTGGGTTTGGGATATTCTATTTAATTTTTTTAAAACTTTTGTATTATGTGTTTCTTTTAATGCTGTACGCTCCCCTGAGTCCTTGGGAGAAGGGCGGCATATAAATCTAATAAACCTAAACCTAAACCTGGGGTTTAGAGAGACAAAAACACTTTTTTTCTCAATAGCCCCTGCTAATGAGTCCTTCCATACATATCTATTCTATTATTACACCTGGATTCTGGAATAGATTAAATATGGCCCACAATTGCATCTGTAAGAGACATACACAAAGAAATACCCCACCTCACACATATCCCAACCCCCCAGCTAGTTCTTATATCACACTAAATTTGATTTATTTAAGCACAACATGTTGAATAATCTATTATTGCCTGAGTCTATATACTGTGTTATGATTCATGGCTAATAACCCACAATGGCTAGACTCATGTAAAAGTCAAACTAAATAAACAACATTATGGCTTAATGCAACGTATGAAGCTATCCTATGCACATAATTCTTAGGGCCAAACAACTGATGTTCAATCTGTTCCATCTCTATTGGCTCTGAAGAGGACTGACAATAACTAGTTACTTATGAGCAACTGTGATTTTACAGTGGTCATCTGTGAATTCACACATTATAGGTTCTATATCTGTGCAATATGCTGTCAGGAACGCTTCAGAACTATTTTTTTTGGCAACCTGTGTTAATCATTAGATAGAATATAGATCAATCTTCCACTGAAATCCTTAGCTCTGCTTTTTCAAGAGGCAACTGGACTTTTTGGCTTTTCTTTGAGCTCAGAGCTGAAGAAGCTTCTTGGATGAGATGCGAAATGTCTTCAAAGAAAAAACAGAAAGTCCAGTTGCCTCTTGAAAAAGCACTTTTGGGACAACCATGACTTGGATGATTGAGAATCCCCTTAGACACTTAGCTCTGGAACATTCCAAGGTATAGGGAATAGCCATATATGTGAATTAGACAAACCCTCTTGAAAAAATATAAATTAGAGTAGAATTTAACTGACAGATTTTGAACTGGTTCATTCAGCAAAATCATATGGTGAACAAACAATGTCAATTGCCTATCTGCTTCCAAGTGAACTCACTGCAGTGGTACCTACCTTTAAATTTTTTAATCAGAGCTAGATAATCTTTTTTTTCTTTCAACAACCCCATTCTTTTGGGAATAATCTGTAGGTATGTGCATGTCCATGGAGGGACTTCAGCAGGGGAAGATGGTTAAAGCCAGTACGCTAAAGGGTTACACATAACTCTGTTTTCCATTTTGTTGCCCCTTTTTTAATCTCTTCCCCATTCTCCAATCCAACAAAAATGTTCTCGCTAGAAGTCTGAATAATTTGATTATGGAAATTTTATGCTTGAAATGTATTTGTTTGTTTGTTTATAGAATTTATAGGCTATCCATCTTACCTCAAGGTAAGTAAATATGTATTCATTGGCCTCTAGCACCTATTCCAATTCTCCATTTGTCTATAAGAAGAGATTAAAATTGACTTCTCTCATTTGCTGCCCTTATCCTTCCCCAGTTTGGACTCCTAGGTTGCTTGCTAATGGAAGTCCCATTTTAGCAACATAAGGGATGATAGAGTTTTTGTGGTTGCCATAGAAGATGAGACATGCAGTAGACTAGAAAGCCCTAAAGCCAGACAGGAATGAAACAGATCAAAGCCAAGCTCATCTGAATGCAGCAAGAGCCATATGGAGCCTGTCCACTAGACCAGCACAGATACAGGCGCATGAACTAACTCCAGTCACTCAGCTAGTAGAAGCAAAATGTTAACCTCCTGCTCAACATCTTGGGCAGCATAGAAAGACAGGAACCAGCTTGAGTAGAAAATGTGTGGGGAAGTGGGAGATGAGGAAAAAGGAGGGCGGACTTGTTACCTAGCAGTCCCCCAAAGGTGATGGCAGGAGAGAGAGCAGCGAAGTAGATGAATAGCACGGCTGCGAGGCACTGGCTGTGCAGGGCATCTCTGAGGTCACTCAGATACTTGGGGTACCTGCGCTTTATGTCCCGCACCAAACCACCAAAGAAAATGCCGGTGCGCTTCAGAGGGTCATCCTCCTCCTCTTCACCCTCTTCTTCTTCTTCTTCAGCTTTGACCTCACATAGCTCTGGAAAGGCATAAATAGACGAGCAGGGAAATGGTAGGAGAAGCTGAAACAAGACACCTTTCCACACTAATACCCTACTATATGTAATCAGATAGGTGCTCGGATCAAATTTTCCCTTATTTGCTTGTACCGTGTTTCCCTGAAAATAAGACAGGGTCTTATTTTCTTTGGATCACTGAAATAAGCGCTGGCCTTATTTTTGGGGAGATCTTATTATTTTGGAGGTGCAGAAGATAGGAAGTATGGTCACCTCATGGCTGCTGCTGTGTTGCAATATTTTCAGAGAGCCTTATTTTTGGGGGAGGGCTTATTTTAGCGCATGCGCTCAAAAACCCAATTGGGCTTATTATCTGGGGAGGGCTTATTTCCAGGGAAACAGGATACTAATTGCCACAAAGTCTGCCTTCAAAATCTACTTTGTTACTGCATCAATTTTTAATAGCATTACTGACATGTCAAGTCATATTTCACTCATTCTATTATAGCCACAGTATGAATCAGATACAATAGGCAAAGACAGAAGAGACCTTTGGATTCCTGAAAGTTTGTTTCTTTGAGGGACTTCTTCTGGTCCCGCTCTCTTCTCTTCTTCAGCAGCACTTTCTGGAAGGTGGCAATTGATCTGAGCAAATCTTTCCCTTCTACTTCTGATGGAGGAATGACAATGCTGCAGTCTAGGAACTCATTGATGGCATTAAGGAGATCTTGGCGGTCATCCGCCATGTAAGCGGCTTCATGGAAATGCTATAAACCAATGGGGAAACATGGTGAGACACAGACAGCATCTTTATACCTGGCCCTGCCCACCCTAATATTACGGCTTGGTGGTGTAGTCCCCATATCAACATAAATCCCTCAGTTCATTTCCAGTGAAACAGTATAGCTGGCTTTAATTACCATTTTGTTCCCATTTTGCCTTTTGCGGAAAGTGTGTGTGTGTGTGTGTGTGTGTGTGTGTGTGTGTGTGTATGTACATACACATGCATTTCTTTAAAATATTATTACTTCTGAAGTCTTTAATGTCAGCACACAAGCAATTAAATATAATCTTGATTCCAGTAAGTGGATAATTCATGTATTGATACTAAAACATTATTTAGTGCTGAGGTAAAACACATGATCTCCCAGTTGTTGCTGAACTCCAGCCTACAGCAGCCCCAGTCAATTTATCAATAACATGTTAGGAATATTAGGAATTACAGCTCCACAGTGTCTATGACGATACTGATTTCCCATCTCTGTTTTAACAGTCCTTTCTATACAGTGTAATTTAAGGAGTTTCATATTCAATTGTTAAGCATGATCTTGTTATGTGATAATTTAATTTTTCTGGTTTATCTTACATTTTTAAAATGCTGTTTTAGATCAAGGGGTGGGAGAGGGAGGCCGTAATTTTTTTCTTTGTTTTAAAACAGAAAATATATTATCTCATAAACATAGTGCGATTTGATATAAAATTAAACATTTAGAAAAACTATTAAATGGTTCTGGTCAGTTTGGTAGTACATTTACAACAAATAAAATAGGCTACTTCAGAATGAATAAGCAAAATTTTGAGCAGATAGAAAAACACTTTTAGAAATTTTAATACTAGCAGGAGAGAACTCAGATAGTGATCCTGGAATTTAAGAATTACTCCCTTTTCACTTCTATACTTCAATTACATTAAAAAAGAAGTGTGGATAAATTATTACTAAAAGATTCATCCACATGAAAAATATTGCTGAAGGCAAATAGGAGGACAGAGTTCACTCAGAGCACATGCTATAAAAATGCTGGATCAATTGGTCAACAGAGCTGGCCAGACAGGAAATTGGGGGGAAATATACTTCTTGTCACGATAGTTGACTTCTCAACTTCTGTTAAACTCTTGTGAATATTTGGAAGGACAAATATTTCACACAAAACTTACAATTGAATAGGAAAGTAGAAACTAAAACATAGCTGCAGCTCTTAAGCCAGCTTTTAAAAAAAAAAAATTTCATCAAAAATTAAGGCCATCAAAAATCAACTTCAAGGGATGTAAGCTTGGAAAAGGTAGGGGAGTTAATATAGAATGCATCATTGTTGTCTTCTGAAATCTAACATGTAGGACTTTTCCCCCCCTTCCATACATTGCCCTTGACATGTAGAATAGAATAGAACCTATTCTATTCTACTCTATTCTACTCTATTCTATTCTATTTCTTTCATGTGACCAGCATCTCTATTTATGCTTGAGCTGAACCAATAGTCAGGTCTTTACCTTGTCTGACATGAGAGTAGAGATTGAACGTCCAATCTCATGGTAATCCACATTGGACTGACTTGGCCCTAGNTATGGTGACCAAAACTGGATATGGGGTCTATGACAATTCACCACAGCCAGGTCACTGTGGGACAACTCACTGTGGGACAAGAGTTACACTAATATCAAAGCAATGGTAGAATAGAATAATTAAAGAAGGAATGCAAAACGAGGGACAAAATGAAATGTGAATGATAAAAATTAAAATATTTTTATTTATTTTAAATAATTAAATTACATTGTTAAATTGTTCCATGACAACTCGTCCCACGGCGAGTTGGCCATGGTGAATTGTCCCGTGGTGACTTGACTACAGCGAGTTGGCTGCAGCGAATTGTCCCATTCCGTTCCAAGGGTCATCTTATCAAGACATTATAGATTGGTATTAACTCCTTCTATACTTGCATTGTAACGTTGCACACAAGTAAGGGGCACAGCATGCCTTGTGATTGCATTTTTTTTCTGATGAAATATTAGCTTGCTGTAGGTTTCCTCCTGTTACGAATGCTGGCATAGTGGTTAAGGTGCTGGCCTAGAAACCAGAAGAGGGTGAGTTCTAGTCCCGCCTTATGCATAAAAGGTGGTCAGTCACTCTCAGTCCAACCCTCCTCACAGGGTTGTTGTTGGGAAAATAGGAGAAGGGAGCATTAGAAATGTGTGCTGCCTTGAATTCTTTGTCAAAAATAATAAAGGCAGGATAAAAATAAAATAAATAAATAAATAGAAAGCTGATAATCAGCTGATGATGCTCTTAATAATTTAGAAATTATTTCACAACTGTTTGCGGCTTTTCCTAAAATTTGCTAAGGAAAAGAGAAATAGGGGCTTTGGGGTATACACTGAAGTTTGAATAAACTTGTCTATAAAACTTGGGCCTAAATGTATTTAATTAAGAAGTATGTTTTTTATTTCAGGTGGAACTGTTTTCTGTAATAAAATTAAGACAGGGGCCTGAAAAACACTTTTAGAAGGATCATGTGGAGTACTGAAATGCAGGAACAATATTTTACCATTTTTTCTAGTTTGTTTCTTTTCACAAAGTCCCAATGAATTTTTCTTTCTTTCTGGTTCCTCATCTGGAGCAACCTTGTAAAATTTGCTTACATTATAAGCATTTACATAGTATGTACAGTTGGCAGTTTTTGCACCCATACTATACCTATCTTGAGAAGATAGACAGATAGAGATGATAGATGGATGGCTAGATGGATGGATGGATTGATTGATAGATAGATATGTTACTTTTTTATATGGAGTTGTGCATTTGTCTTTTCTTTGATCCTAAACTGGAGTACATTTAAATGAAATTTTGAGTACAGTCTAATGAACAGAAAAAAATGGACAGGCATAGCTTCTTTGGTGTGGGAAGCAGAACCCATGCGATGCCTGCATAAAAATCAAGCAACTGAATTCGGTGTTTCTAATTATGAGATTTTTGCTGGCAAGCCAAGGACAGGTGTCTGGCTGAAATGGCTGAAAGGCAACAACAGTCAGAGTAGATTATTTGGATCTGCTGTCAGAAACAGGAACATCTTTCATTTATTTATAACCTGGACTGAGGCTTAAGGAATGCCAGAACAGCCTTGCTAATAATCATCTAAAGAAAAGGCAACTCAGAATGCATATACATGTGTGACAGTGGGAAGGGACAACTTTAATTGAATCCTTTTCTTTGATTCTACTTGAATAGAGGTGTTGTTTTTTGCTGGATTTTCCATTTCAGGAGCATATAAAAGGAACCAGGCACAACGTACCAGTGAAAGGTTTATTGGTGCAGCCATATCCTTCCTATTACATTCAGAAGAGTTGTATTGGGGTCTTTGCCCCGACAGTTCAGATTTGCTACACAGGGCACAATGGAGGTCACTGTCTGTGGGTGGGGTAGACTGGCAGCCAGCTGGGAATGATTAGAGGAATATATATACATATATGGCCTCATGACAATCCAGCCCTCAATAGGTAACCCCTGAGGTAGGTGGGTAGGGACAGCCTCCATTTTACTAACAGAGAGAGGCAGTGGAGCAGAGTGGTGCCATGAACCAAAAACCTATGCCATATGGTTTGCTGCCTCACTAGAGGCAAGAGTCAGGCTTGGCCTTTTGTGTATATCTTTTATTCCACGTACATAGAACAGATTTATGGAACAGGACTTCACAGTTCATAAGAGTCCCTGCATATTGACCCAATAGGATAGCACTTCCGGAATCTTGCTCTGAACGTTTGCTGCATGGTGTTTGTGCATATGTTTGGCCTATGAATCAAGCACAAATGCAATGTACATGACTGAATGAATGCAACTGAAAAGGGAGCAGGCTTTTCAGATGCTAAAAGTTCAAATTTAGTGAACAAAGCCAATGCATCTTTTGTGCAATTTAGCTTTGTCACAAAATCTGATCTTTATATGGCAACTGTAGAAGAAAGTAGCAGGACTAAATTGAAAGAGAACTAGGCAGTTGTCAGCGGGAGATACAAGGGTGATATGGGCCTGAGAAAAAGGCAGAAGGTTTTAGGGTCAGGTAAAATCCAGGAGCTAGAAACTATTGCTTTGACATATCAAAAGGCAAATGAAGACAATCCTTTATCCCTGTAGAAAGCTTGTACAATACAATGTATATTTTGCATTCTACAAATGCAGAATATTTTAGCTCTCAGAGCCATCATTCTTATTCATTAATTATCAAGGCCAAACCATCAGTAGCTTTTCTGGAGAAGTGACTCTGTTGGCTCAGCTAGGGTTGCTTAAAGAAATACTAAAATGAGTAATGCAATGACCACGGAGAGACTAAACAACAAAGCACGAGGAGCAATGAAGGTAAAACATGGAAGAATACTAAGTGGAAAGGAGGTGACTGAGTACAACAAGAAGGCTTGGTGGATCAGATAATTAACCAGATTAGGTTTCAGACTTAGCTTCTGTGATTCCAAATTGTCTGGTTGCATGTTTGACTCTCTTTGCAAGAGGGGAGAAAAACAGCATGAGAATACTGTAAAATCTTTTTGGATGATCTCACTTAGAACCATATCCATCATTCAATTTTTACTCCATCATTAGTCAATTTGTTCCTGATATCCAGCCTGTGTCATCAAATTTTACCTGCACTTCTTCCTTCCCTGTGTGAATGGATTTGCTTCCTAGATCACCCCAACACTTTGGACAACCAAGGAAACAGCAAACATAGGCACAGTACTTGCCAAACTGATGCAGGTGCCCACGAATATTGCACAAATACCACATTCCACTTGTTGAACACATCATGGTACTGAAATCCTTGCTGGCACGCATTACAGTTTGTGGTCTCCAACAGTCCTTATTGCCTTTCCTCAAAAGGAAAGGATCAAAAGTTCCCATAAACATGAAATCCCAGGCAAGGATATCATGCAGAAGAGCAGATGAAGCACACTCTCTTAAACAATCATGAGACTAAGTGGCTAAATTTCAATAAGGAAACACCAGCTATTCTTCCACTTCCTGCTACCACACCAGAAAACTGCTAATTCTGAAAAAAAAAGTATTGCCCTCAACATTCCAAAAGGTTTACTTGCCTCTTCCTTTGTTAACCTGCTGCTATTTTTCCCACTGCAAAACAGTTTAATCTGCTTGACCTCTCTAGACAGGAGACTAATAACAACTGGCTAAGGTGTCTACGTATTCAGATCAATATATGGCACAGCACTACAACAAGGTCTGTTCAGAAGGAGCATGGGTGATAGTGACTGGAATTATATTCTGTTTCTGTCCATAAGAAGGCAGCAATTCCTCTTGCTCTGCCTTGCCCAAGTTCTCTTCTGATCTGGAGCTTCTGGGAGGGTTGTGACTCAGCTGCCAATTGGACTAGACCTATGATCAGTTCAAAAGCCACTGCAGGAACAGCATGAGGAGAACAGCTTATCCCATAATGCCAGGAAAGAACTAGTAGACATATAGCAGCCTGCTCATACTGGCATGTGAAGTTCATTGTATTCATCTCGCCCATCTTCATCAAAGTTTGGCTCTGCATCTTCCGAGTCTAGCTGCAAGTGAGAGGGAAGAAAGGAATAAGTATCCATTCAATTACAGTGGGTATCTCTGTTACAAGTCAAAAGCGTTGGGGATGTTGGAGGATGGTCGAGAGCTATCTGGGAAAATGTGTATCTGCTATTCTAATGCAGTAAGGAAGACAAATATTAAATTGCTTGTTCTTCCTCTTCAAGTGGTATCTGCATGGCATACTTTATAGCAATAGCACTTAGACATATATACCACTTCACAGTGCTTTT